AAAAAAATCATCGCGGTGTCATTTCTCTTGACATTGACATTCGGTATCATTTCTCTTGACATTGACATTCTAGAAAATGTCCTTATCTCGTTGCTAGGAAGTTCACTGTCAACACCATAGAACTCCGTCACTACTTTGATATTTGCACTGGTCAGAGAACTGCTAAAGACAACTGAAGCCATCCGACATTATAGAGGTTCAGATTTGACTCCCACTACCGACACTACCAATACCTCTCACTGGCTTAGTACGCGTCTGATTGGTTGATCGGATATATGAAACGCACCTGATTGGTTAATGGTAGCGGTAGCGGTAGTGGAAGTCAAATCTGAACCTCGCTATTCACCCAGTGTTTTTATCACAACATCAGCTCTACTTCGTCTGTTGCACAATAGTTAGTCTCATGAAGCACGTGAAAATTTAAAATGTTTAATATGGAATTAGATTTTATTTTCTTGATGTTGTTATTCGTTTAGATGAGTGCGAGTGCGCTGCATAGAAACGAAACATTTTCGTTTTCTAAATTAGTTTCTTATGTTAAACATGTTCCAAGCGCAGTTCAGAACTGCTATGTTCAAAACACTGACAAGTTGCTCAGAGTGCACACAATAGGAAAAACTGCATTGACTTACCTTGATTTGTTCTGCTTTGTTTTAGCAATATCTGAGAGTATACAGTGAATCAGTTTATTTAGGTCTTCCTTTGATAATGTGGTTCTGATAAATAATATAGCATTCACACCAGTAGGTATACCTTGAAATCTTCTTGATTTCTTCAGATTTTTGATTTGGTTAATTTCTTTTGCTATTGCTTTTTCAATGTCATCATCAACATCCTCTTCATTCTCAGAACTTGATTCAATGTTTTCATATTCAATGACTTTCTCACCATCGCCCTGTTGGTAATTAATAACAAGTTTCTTCTCTTTTTTCTCCGTCTCCTTGTCGTCTTTGTCAGTGTCTACATCACAATTGATATGTTCCGTGAATTCGGTACCGAATAATTCATCCGCATACTGAAGGTTTAAATAAAATTAGAATTTAGAGAAGCCTTGATTCTATACAAACAGGTATATGTAAGTTTGGTAAAAATCAAAACATTTAGAACTATTTAACAGATAATTCCATTAAACTGTAAACTTTAGTGATTTGTTTCGAAAGCATGTACAATCACTACAAGACTTAGCCAAGGGGAAGCAAATACACTTGCTATCAACGGTTTTCACCGACCAATGTTTTAAACAATTATCAAAAATGGTGCCAGATGATTTCTATTAGGGATGAGCCGATTAATCGGTACGGCCGATAAATCGGCCGATATTTGGCATTTTCAAAATAATCGGTAATCGGCCGATTATTTTTTGTAATCGGCTATTTGCTGATATTTGCAATTTTTTCGGTTTTTTTAAGAAAAATAACTCTATGATCTAGTAATCTACACTCCGTCTTGTTTTTGACACTTTTGTTGCGCGTATTTAATCCCATATCATTAATTCATTTGACTCATACAGTGACCGATAACTGTCCAATACGAGTAAATATTTTCCGGAACACACTAAAACTAGTACGTCAATTTGTGGCGTATACACAAGTTAAAAGTTGTTAAAAAACCGTTATCCGGCGCTTGTACCCCGGTACACAGAAATATCGGCCATAACCGATTAATCGGCCGATTATTTTTTTATATCGGCTCCGATATATCGGATCGGCGAATCGGCTTTTTTCTGGTATCGGCTCATCCCTAATTTCTATTGTCAATTAAGATCAGCTGTGGCAAACACTTCCAGGCCTAGAAAATATATTTATTTACCTGGCAGCAAAATTCAAAAATTAAAATTTCCTGTGTAACTAAGTCAACTATAAAATGTAAATTTCAGAGTCAATGTGTGGACTATGATGCCGCACATCTCGACTTGCAAAATATTTAATTTAGAATTTTCAAACAATAAGTAAATTATATGGCATTCCTATACAGGGTGTATAAAATAAACTGAACAGATTTGAAATTGCTGTCAATTTCGCAAAACAGATATTAGTATCCAGTTTTTTATGTATATAGCTTCTTTGGGTACTTATAATGTAGAATAATAAAAAAATTTCTCGAACTCAAATTTTGTGAACCAGGGGGTGTGTCTTTTCCAACAAACTAAAAATGGCTTGCGCACGAAATTTAAAAGCTTTAATCATATTTTGAGTTAATAGATGGAAAATTTGTTGGGTTTTTAATTACTGTACAAAATTCAGACAATTTGCTTTAGTTTAAGCTCTTTAGCTATTCATTTTTTTCTAAAAAATCAGCCTTTCGCATGCTTAATCAATGCCTTTACCTAATTTGCATATTGCTGACATATGCAAATTAGCCAAAGGCATAATTAAGCATAAATAGCTGATTTTTAGGAAAAAATGTAAGTTTGCGTGAATAGTTAAAGGGCTTAAACTAAACCAAATTGTCTGAAATTTTGTACAGTAAATAAAAACCCAACAAATTTTTCATCTATTAACTCAAAATATGATTAAAGCTTTTAAATTTTGTGCGCAAGCCATTTTTAGTTTGTTGGAAAAGCCCCCCCCCCGGTTCACAAAATTTGAGAAATGTTTTTCATTATTCTACATTATAAGTACCCAAAGAAGCTATATACATCAAAAACTGGATACTAATAGCTGTTTTGCAAAATTGAGAGCAAATTCATATCTGTTCAGTTGTTTTTTTTATACACCAGGGACCGCGGAGCAGGGTGGGCTGGGGCCTGGGGGGCTTTAGCCCCCCAATAATTTTTCATACATATCTGATTTTAATATAGCGCAGATAGCACTTTTCTTTGCATAGTCCAGAAATATCAAATGTCTGATTTGTGTGTTTCAAAATTATAGAGGCCATTTCCAACCAGCGAAACATATATAGCTTTTACAAACAACAGGTCTCAACCTTCATGACGCTGTGCAATAATGTCAAGAGTTGTTAGTCGCATTTGACCACTTTATTTAAAATTCGGAGCCTAACATTATCCAAGGTGTTACACTCGGTTTCAAATAACGGTTGAAACTCCATATCACTTCCGACACAGTGAATATATACACATGTTTCGCTTCGGTTCCAAACAAAATGTTGGCGTTAAAACTGCTAAGCATCGTTCTAACTTACTGTTTGCTTGTGATTGATTATTCCTTGCCTTTGAAACCTAAATTATCTCCAAACAAAATTCTCACGAAAAGAATGCAGGTTATATAAAACTACAGTGAAACAGGCAATTTGATTGGTCAATAGCCGTGCAGAATCAAGCTATCCTGCACAAGGAATTAAAATGCCTTCGCGGGATTCTCAAAATGTCATAGTTTCATTGCAGATATTTTATAAAACAATTACCAAATGGTTTTCCAAGCAGGATAGCGTGATCCATGCACTTGGAATGTTGCTCGCCTGCGGCTCAAGTATTTTTAAGCTTTCCAAAAGTCTTGCGACATCCCTCTTGAATGGACCATGCAATCCTGCACGGAAAACCATTCGGTATTCCTTTTTTATTGAACACGTTCCAGAAAAAACATTTCTAAGAAAGGTAGAGACGATAAGTGTGGAAAATGCAGTTTAAATTATGCTTAAATACGGCATTAAAGTTCGAAGAAAAAAACCTATTCAAGGAAAATGTACTAAGTGAATAAATTTTACCCTGATATAATGGCTTGCTTAAGAGTCGTTCAAGAAACTTTTTAAGAGAAACTAGCAGGTTTTATTGCATTTCTGG